TACCATGTTATTATTGGATTTGAATATGGTTTGTACCGGAGATGCACTGTTTTGTATATTTTTTTTGTGCTCTTATTCTCAATAAACATATTTGGATTAAAAAAAAAGTGGTACTCCTGATCTGGCTGCCAAATTATATTTTTCTGCAGGTTACTATTTAGAAGCAACCTGCTTCTAGAGGAATCAGCCAAACTGGACCAATGTAACTGTAAAAACATCAATACCTGGAATTCATCTTAAAGTGTTAAAACCCATCTCCTGACAAATATCATCCACCTGACTATCTCTCCCTCCCATCCGACATCCATTTACAACCTCTGTTTTACCTAATTTGTTTTTTTGACTTGCATGAGTCTGCCATCTGTGTCTCTCATTGATGCCTCTTCCAGGATTGGAGATCAGTGATCCATCATTGCAGCCTGTCTCTGCTGACGAATGGTATGATGTCACTTAGTCTTCATTCTTCTGGATCCTGAGACGACTCTGCTACTGGACAGCCAATAGGAAATGTCCACATCACCCTGGCAAGGATATGGATACCTGAAGAAGGACTATTTCACTTCACAATAACAAAAAGAGAATATATAGAACCTGACACATCGGGGTTTATTTACTAAAGTTGGTTCACTCAGAATTTTGTGCACTTCTGCATAGAAACCAATCAGCTTCCAGGTTTTATTGCTAAAGCTTAATTGAACAAGCTGAGGTTAGAAGCTGATTGGCTACCATGCCCAGGTGCACAAGAGTCTGTGTGTACCAGCTTTAGTAAATAAACCCCATCATGTTTACAGGGTAACTTCACTTTCGTGGGAAAAATAGAAAAAAAAAAATAATATAGTGTATACAATTGCAGCACAAGTCATATTGTACTTATATGCTTATAAAAATGATCTTTCCTTTTCAATCTAAAGCTCAGCTATTTTCTGTAAAATGCAGTGCAAAGTGGCAACCTAGAGATGTTCTGTACACAGATGGTGTACAGAGCACCCCCAGAGATGTAATTTCCTGCTTGTGTGATTGCTTACTGAATTTCCCAGAAGTCTGAACTGCTTATTTTGGGCATCCCCTGTAACAAAAATATGCTTTTTGGTGAAATACTCCCTTGTCTAAATGGATACAGACCCTGCAATTTTCTTCATTTGAGCCCTGCAGCAGCTAAATGATAATTATGAAAATACTCCCATACAGAGTCACTCTGCACATGGACACAAACAAATCACTCTATATCACTCTATATTCAGAATAGCACAAAGTAGGAATCTGCAACAACGTTTGTTAAAATCCCTGCAATGTACATAGATCACCCAGAGGGGAAGTTTGTTTTTGCAACAAAAGTGGAGTTACTCTTTAAATTTTGAGGCTTGGGGGGTTTAAAGCAGATCTTACATGCAAATGGTATGTGGGTGTCCTGCATAGCTGCGGAAAAGAGCAACCAGCTGCTCCTCAGAACTCCAACCTAGTGTCAATGCTTGGCACATGCCAGATGTTGTTTAGACTTGTTTAGACTGGATTCTAGTAGATAAATGGTTTGTTATATTTCTTTTATACTATCTTACTTTTTATATCTATTCATTCTCTTTTATGTTTCCTTTAGAATCGATTTGCTAAGAGAAATATCCAGTGCGGTACAAGTAAAGAGGCACTGTAGAGAACACAAATGTGGAAGCATTGATTTGTGAAGGGGCTGTAGCAGTGATCTCTAGCATTCTCATGTAATGTCTCTCCAGTCTATGACTTTTTACTGAAACATGTTTCCTGTCTCCAACAGCTCCTAAGCATTTCTGCAATTTCTGACATCTCTTGCAGTCTTTGACCATCTAATGTCTGCTGTCTCTGACAACTTTCTGTATTCACTGAATATTATGTGTTGAACAGGGGCGGACTGACAACTCATGGAGCCCCCGGGCAATAGGGGATCATGGGGCCCCTGTGTCCTTGCCCAAACTAAAAAAAAGCCTATGAAAAAGGTACCAGGGGCATCTCATGGGGCCCCCCACGACCCCGGGCCCTTGGGCAGTGCCCGAGTTTCCAAATGGTCAGTCCGCCACTGGTGTTGAATATTATGCATATAATGTGATTCAATATTACATGCTGCCCCTTGGTGATGTCAGGGGCCACACTTGAGGTCTCCTATATCAAATATGTTGACCACCACTGCCCTATGGCCCCATTCACACTTGAGCATTTTTGTAGCGTGAAGCTCTAAGCTCCAAAACACTCAGGGAGAAAAAAATTAATATTCTATGGAGATGGTTCACATCTCCACTCCAAGTTACTTGAAGCAGAATGCCTGAAGCTCAAAAAAAGTTTTGGAAGCTACTTTTGTAGATCCATTCGTGCAGATTGATGCGTTTTGGCGCGTTTTCATTCCCATAGAAATACATGCATACAAATCACGCATTTTCAAGCGGTTTTACAAAACAAGGCAACAATTGATTTCACAGATGAGATTTTCCTCTATTGGCTAATGCAAGAATGCCAGAACTCAAAAAGTTGAAAATGCGTGAACAAATTGAGCACAAACATTTGCAAATGCACATATAAACACGCAACAAAACGCACAAAAGCACTACACTCAGATGTGAATGGAGCCTTAGATGTTCCAACGTTATGACAATTATCGGAAATCATTTTAGAATTTTCTGTATAATATTACATTTTGGAAGGTAAACAAAAATGTAACTGATACGTTGTGCTTGTTTCCCAAGTATGAATAGGCAGCCATTGAGGATAAGCCACTAGAGATTTTTCAGATTCCACAGTAGTGCAGAGTGAACACCATTCCAAAGCTGGTGATATTTTTAAATGCCTGTAGCAGCCAAGAGGTCAAGTGACTAAAGTCTCATATTTTTAATAACACATTAATGGATTAGAGGCCACACATGGATTTTCAGAAAGTCAATCCATAATCAGACAGCTAGAAGCATTTGTCACTTCACCACATGAATAAAAAGGGTATGTACTGGAATTTAAATAACACTTTATTTTGTGCATAATGTTCACAAAGGTCAATTAATGTGAAACTAAGAAAAAGATAAAAATGTATAAAGAACCTGTATAGAAACTGTATACATCACAAAAGGAAGTGGCAGTATTAGAAAAGTCAATTAAAACCTGTTAATGCACAAACCTGCAGAACAATGCTGCCATTACATATGCGCATTTCAATTGAGAGGGCCACAGAAAACACAGGGGAGAGGCTTAAACCTAGTACACAGGATCAGAAAATCATAGATACAGCTTTTAATTGTTTTGTTAGAAGCTTTGTCCAAAATATTTTTTTTTGTATTCTGTCGTATAAGATTTAATTTTTAAGCCCTGTTGAGATTGGGCGAATGATTTTTTTTTTTTTGCATGCTAGTCTCATATCGAAAGTGAAGAAGTTACTAAAGTTACGAAAATTTTTGTGCGACAGAATAACAATTGAGGAGTGATGTATAGCATTGTATTTGTATTGTATTTTCGGCTGAAAACTGTACTGATTAAATTGCACGATCTGGTATCGTATAAGAAAAATGTTCGTGGTTATCCTTTAGAATAATTTGTGCTGGGTTGACTGCGGATGCGTAGGAGTGATGTCCTCCCACACCAGCCAATGAAGATGGCCAAAGGCCGGTACACTGTAGAAGCCGGTGCTGAAGAGGGAAGGAGCCACTCACGCGAAGGTAAGTTTAGTTCCACATCCATCTAAATCTGCTCTACTGTATCTAATACTACCCTCTCCCCAGATTGACAATGCTGTTGTCCAAAGGTGTCTCTGTTGCTCCTCCCTCCAGAGTGAAGACACCCAAAGACAGGAAGAGTGTTATTGGTCATGTCATAGTTACCTATAATTACATAGTTGTGAAGGCTGAAAAAAAAAACACTAGTAAATCCAGTTCAACCTGTGTGGGTGTGTGTTTGCATTTATGACTATCACTTTCATATTCCTGTATATTGTGTCACTAGGTAAAAATAAAGGGAAAAAAAGCCTAAAGTAAACAAACTAACACAGTCACTACATTTAGGAATCAGTATGGTGCAATATATTGATTTTTGGGTGAGGTTTAAGGCTGGCCATAGACGGGTCGTTTATCGGCCGAGTTTTTGGCCGATAAACGAAAAATCAGTCGTTGCTGGCAGCGATGCTGCCACCAATGTCCAGCATGACTTTTAAAAGTAAATAAGGAAATCCACGAAAAACGGCCGACGGGCTGACCCCACTAACGGCGTGAATATCGGGCGTCGGACAATATCGGCCCATAAATGATTATGGCCTGCATAACACACCTTTTAAGAAAAATATTTTTTAGGGAAGAAATTGGCAATGCTAAAAAAGTGGTTATATTTTTATTTTTACTTGCTGATACTCCGTGGACTACTAGCTACATACCACTACAACTCAAACTCTCAAATGCAGTTTATATTAAAAAATACTATATCAGTGTACTAGGTGTGTTTAACCACTTGCCCTCCAGAGGACTTATCCCCCTTCCTGACCAGGCCATTTTTTTCCGTTATGGCACTGTATTACTTTAACTGACAATTACGCAGTCATGCAATGCCGCACCCAAATTGAAATTTATGTCCTTTTTTCACATGAATAGAGCTTTTCTTTTTTGTGGTATTTTATCGCCCTGTGCGGTTTTTTTATTTTTTGTGCTATAAACAAAAAAAAAGACCCACAATTTTGAGAAAAAAAAAACTATATTTTTGACTTTTTGCTATTAACCACTAGCCTATAGGGCACTTATACCTCCTTCCTGCCCAGGCCAATTTTCAGCTTTCAGTGCTGTCACACTTTGAATGAGAATTGCGCGGTCATGCAACACTGTACCCATATGAAATTTTAATCATTTTTTTTGAGACAGATAGAGCTTTCTTTTGGTGGTATTTAATCACCTCTGGGTTTTTTTATTTTTTACTAAACAAACCAAAAACAACAGAAAATTTGAAAAAAAAAACCCTGTTTTTTCTTAGTTTTTGTTTTAAAATTTTGTAAATAGGTTATTTTTCTCCTTCACTGATGTGCGCTAATGAGGCTGCAGTGATGGGCACTGATAGGCTGTACTGATGGGCACTGATAGGTGGCACTGATGAGGAGGCACTGGTAGGTGGCACTGACTGGCACTGATAAGTGACACTGAAATGCAGCTCAGATGGGCACTGATATGTGGTATTGATGTGCACTGGTAGGCACTGATATGTGGCATTGATGTTGCACTGATGGGCACTGGCAGGTGGCACTTATGAGCACTGACAGCTGGCATTGATGGACACTGACAGGTGGCACTGCTGGGGCTACACTGATCATCAGGGCACACTGATCATCAGTGCCCTGATGATCAGTGTACATGTCCCCTCTGAGGAATGCCGATCACCGGCTCTCCTCTCCTCTCGAGCTGTCAGCGTGACAGCTCGAGTGGAGAGAAATGGCGATAACCGACATTTCCCTATTTACATGTGATCAGCTGTGATTGGACACAACTGATCACATGACCGAGCCGACATCTTTCAGCTCTTTCCGTTGATCGCTGATCCGCTGTGTCCGAGGAGCACAGCGCACCACCGATTGCCGTGCTTTTCGCTCCCGGAGCCGCACACACATGGTTAGAGTGGGAGGACGCCATATGACGTCCTCCCAGAACGAGAGAACCGCCGTGCGCTCATCATTGCCTTATATGCAGGTGGGAGGCGGTTAAACTTGTCCAGTAAAAAAGTTTTAAAAATCTAATTTCATCATACATTTAGGCCAAATGTCTTCTGCTACATGTCTTTGCTAAAATAAAATTCCAATACTTGTAAATTAATCAGTTTACGTGAAAGTTATAGCGTTTACAAATGGTGGTACTGGGCTTTTTTCTTTTTTTACTAGTAATGGCGGCGATCAGCGACTTATAGCAGGACTGCAGGACTGCGACGGGCATTCTGACACTGGGGGGGAACTGACTTGTTATAGTTTTCCTTGGGGTGTATGGGACATTGAAACCTGCAATGGATTATTGGTGCCCTAAAGCCCTCTTGCTGTAATCCTTAGTTGAGGTCTAAAAGGATCAAATAAATTGGTGCTAAACCTTATGCTGGGATCCCAGCTCCTGAAGACTGTGCCCATGGCCCACATTGCCCTACAGCTACACTATATTCTCCTCCTCGGTAACCTATCCTGCTCTTCTGCAGCCACAGTTCCCTATTAGGTATGGTCAAGGAGGTGGATATACCACTATACTGGGAGAGGGAGCGATTTGGGGAGAAAAGGGGGCACCCCTGAAGCCGGCACTCTGTATGCAGAGCACACCTGAATCCTGCACTCAATGTGCAGCGTACCCTGAACCCTGTACTCTGTATACAGCGCACCCCTGAACCCTGCACTCTGTATGCAATGAACCCCTGAAACTTGCACTCTGTATGTAGCAGTACAAAAAAATGTACACTCACAGCAAGGAGCACATGGAAGGGCGACGCATGTCAAACAACAAAAAAGAAGAAAAATTATGAACTCTAACTTGCCAGCCAGCCTGCAAACATACCAAATTCGGTTTGTTTGCAGGTTGGCTGGCAAGTTAGAGCTCGGAATTTTTCTTCTTTTGTGTTGTTTGACTCTGTATGTAACACACACTTGAACACTGCACTCTATATGTAGCCTGCACTCTATATGTAGCCTGCACTCTGCATGTAGTGCACACCTAAACCTTGCACTCTGTACTTAACGCACACTCCTGGTATTTAATGCCCCTTTAAGACCCTCCCACTGTTAGTGCAGGAGGAGGCATTCCTGAATGTCTCCTGAATGTGTTTTTTTCTAGCTAAATTGAAATTTTACATTGAAATACTGTGTCACAACCGCAAGCCAAGCATTTGGCTTGTGGCTGCTGCGCAGCCCCATTGAGCCCGACAGGCAGGTTTGACAGGTGATGCCATCAATGAAACTTGACATGTCAAGTTAAAATTTCCACACTATGAAGCTAAGCATCAAGGCCATGGCAATGTGAACTCACCCAAGCAGATGCTATGTTCATTTAGAGGTAGGTGGTCAGATAGCAGTTCTGTTTAATCACCCTTTTAGGCCACAGCCACTTTTATACAGAATCTGCGCTTGCCGATTGCTCTCCTTGGCATGCATAACCACTCTTGTTTTTCAACTGTATCCCAGCAGAGTGGCTGATAATTTGTCATGCTGTGTTGGTTTTTTGTAGGGTAAACCAGACCATTTACAGGTTATGGGTATTGTCAGTGTTTTCAGATTGTGTTTTATACTGTTTAAATATTGATTGTTTTAGTTTCTAATAGTTTCTAATAGGAGTTATGTCATTTTTTCAGGTTGTCAGTAAAAAAAATGTGCTCTGTTAAGTTGTCAGTAAAAAAGTTACCGAAGGTTGTCAACTCCCGAGTCAGCGTGGCTTTGGCTCTGTGTCCCTTTCGGGAATGGCTACATATAAGGTTGCTGTTCTAAATGGGAGCGCATACATACTGGAGCATCCAGCAGGATTCCATAGGTCCTGACAGGAACAGAGGACACCCACATACCTGGAATTAGACAATGCAGATGGGGGCAGTATGAGGAGGAAGCTCAGAGGAAAACGTTATAAAAACAACAGCAATAGCATGTGAGTTCTGCTATTAGCAGCTCATTTAGCAAAAAAAAAAAAAAAAAAAAATTAAAAAGTGTAAAAAATTACTTTAATATCACATTAATCGTTAAAGGGTCAGTCCACCAAAAAATGTTTTTTCAGAATTCTGTATAAACTGGACATTTAAAACAGAAATTCAGTTTTTTAAGCATCCTAAAACTAAATGTGCAAGAGACTTAAAAATAAAAAAAATGTTGTTTCGCTGTAATACATAGCATCCTTTTGAACTCTGCTCCCTGCACAATCACGTTCCATCAGGTTTTACTGATTCAGGTTTCAGGTTGAACAAAACCCTGCACCATTTATCCCACATCCTGTGAGCCAGGCCATCATAAACACACCACCCTACAAGAGAATGATGCAATGAGCACAGTTTTCTGCATCATTGAAGACTTCCCACCACCAGACAAGCACTGGAATTGTTGAACCTGTGTCCCCTATGTGATCAACCAGAAGATAACTGAAAAATCTATTTGTATATTTCTCAAAAAATAAAGGCAATAGAAGGGATGGAGTTGAGGACTTGGGAAGGGAAGGATCTCGGAGTTCCTGGGTCCACCATTAGGCGTTCCCATATCCCATTGTCTTTGATGATTTTGTTTTATTTTGTCTTGACAAAAAGCCAATCAGGTTCTATTTCTAACCAACACATATTTGGAGTATTTCTCTTGTTTGTTTTCTTTTCATTATGGGTTCCTTTTGTAGTCTACTACAAAGATCACATTCTGGAGATCAAAGAAATATTTTCTGGCTCCAAACCTTCAGACTCTGCCTCCGAGCACTACACAAGTTAAATACATTAAAGCTCTGCCCTGGTATATGCTACTAACTGCAATTATTGCAGTTCATAGTACGCACAATGAAGGAAAGCAACTCCACATGGAGTTTAATACAGTTTTTAAAAGAGTGCAAGTGCGGTAACCTGTGGTAACTATTTACTGGACTGGAAGAAAAGTCTGATCACTTGTTATGGGACTGTGAGGAAGAACAACAACAAAAAGAAGCGCACCCAACCTTGCGCATTACCTCAGTAACCAAAATTTATTGAATAAAAGAATGGTACTCACAAACAGCGAATAAAAACAGGCATGTAAGTCCTCAAAGGGACTTAAAGGCAAGATGCAAATGCGAATCCCATCATGGAGGAAGCCACTCAGTACAGCTGACGCGTTTCGAAGGACAAGCCTTCTCCTCAGAGCTTGACTAGACTGAGAGTGTATGTTCCCATTTATGCCTCCAGACTGAAAATAAGGCCCTCCCCAAGGGGTTGGGCTGTCCTGGGCAGGGAGGAGGGGCTCGGGGTGTCACCAAGATGCAATAAATAATCATCAAGATTTCCAAAAAAACCATATAAATAGTAGACATAAAGGATAGAATAGAAATATACCGTATATACATATATGAAATCAATTAATACTACTAAAAATTCAGTACAGCTTGTAAATACATGGATAAAAGTTTAAAAATTAAGAATGACCAATTAGCTAACTTTAATCTCTTCATTAAAAATTATTATACTATCATTCTCATTATTATTGTCATTGCACTAACGGTCAAAATGCATACAATAGATATAGAAAAAAGGAAAATAGAGGAACTCACACAGTTAGATGAGCCATTCATGGCCAATGATTTCAGGATTATTCCCCACAAAGTGGGCAAAGCAGCCAGAGTATTTTGCTGAAAATAGTAGTAGTAGGATTAGTGATAACTTTGAGGAATGTTGCTATAAAAATATATATATATATAACTGAATGTAACTGTAGGAGAAAGGTTTTTGTGGACATACATTCATGCAATCCAGCAGGGGATGACTCATATGGATGGTGGGGAGGAGACAGTATATTCTAAATGAATCCGTATTACCTATGTTGTTGTTGGTGGTGTTATTGTTGTTTGGCAGCAGAGGGAGATATTGTTTCCATTGAATGTGGCTGCAGATGAATCTGCCTGTGAAACGCACAGGCCGTTGTGGCGTGGTAGTTAATGCGCTGCGCAGACCATCCCGCGTATGCGCACTAAGACGGCAGCAGCGCGAACTCATGGCACATATCCAATAGCCATTGCGCGCGCAACAGCAGCGCTGCTACATCACCACAAGGTCCTAGTTTCTCCAACCCCCACTGGCTGCTGTCCGATCAAATGCATACCAACGGATTGAATGTGTATGTGTCTGCAGGCTACCTAAACACGACGAATCGTTAGTGCAAAAGCCACCCCCTATAGCTACAATCCCACCATCAAACCTTTAACATGAGAGTAATTTATCTGACATATATATGTAAACATATGTATGCTCCTACACAATACATGCATACATGCACATGGATATAAGAAATCATTAAATGATTAATTGAAAATGTAAAAAACATACATATAAATAATACAAGTGTCTATATAAAAAAATGTGTATACCATAATAATAATATATAAAAAATATTTAGTATAGATGTGCACCAATGCACATACATATGAGAAACACCTACACCCATATTCCCATATATATATACACATATATACATATATACATACATACAAACATTTTAAATAGTCTTCTACACACACATACATATATATACATATAAAAAACCAACACAATAGATTTAATGAACAGGATGAGCCAGCAAGAAAGAAAAAAAAAAAAAAAAAAAAAAACTAAACACCTATAACGCATATGAACGCACATATATACAAAATATATATATATATTACATACATACATACATACAAATGCACACCAGACATGTCTCTCAACTTAGATGAGAGTATGTATTTCCAGGTCATCATTAAGCCCTCCAGGGGACAGAGTACCCAATGTAAAAATCCAGAAGCTTCTCCCTCTTGGATAGCTCCTGATGTCTCCTCCCACTATCCAGGTCCTTAGAGATGGCCTCAATCCCAAACACTTTCATACCAAGATAGTTACTAGAATGCTTTTTTCTTTA